ATTTGACTAAATAAAATTTAAATATGAACTGAAGCTGAGATTGGTATAGACTGTATCATAGATAGATTCATATCGATGGACCACATAGAGAGTCCATTAGAGCCTCTACTGATGCTCTCTAAGAGTAGCTGCCTTCTGCCCGCTTTAGGCATCATCTAAGTACTTATTACTCTGATTCTATCTATCGCTGTGTATTTATAACTCTTCATATCTCACATATATATCACATTGCATTTTCAGAGTTTCAATTTTCCTGTTTGACAAATTCAAATAAATTTCCAATCTGGATTTCATCACGCGCCTCGCATGCCATATTTTCAACTTCGATTTCGTTCCATTAGCTAATATCTGATTAGGCACCAAAGTTGGCAAATGTGGAGAGCATAATGAACAATAAATGGCAGATTGGAGCACACATTTGTGCGCGTAATTGAAATGGAGAGCCAAAAGGCAACCCAGGCCAGGCCAGGCCGGGCCTCGGCCAGCTCAGTTGCAAGCTGCATCATTAGCTGCCACTAAAAGTGGATCAACTAACGGTCAGACAGGCAGCCGTCAGCCACTCAGCCTGGTGGTTGCTGGCGCTGAGGCTGGAGCTGGGGCTGGGGCTGGGGATGTGGCCACATTATAAAACAATTTCTCACAAAAACCCACCCAATTTGCCTGCTAACCGCACGACGGGTGTTTTTTTTTTTTTTTTTTTTTTCGGCCAAGCTTCCAATTACAAGCAGCATTTGGCTAAGTGTTGTTGTGGTCGCTGCCGCTGCCGCTGCTGCTGCTGGCTAGCGGCTAATTACTGTACCCATACCCCCAAAACGAAAGTGAGACCGAGAGGCGGTAATTACCTTTCTGGCCAGCTGCCGTTTAACGGCCTTGCAACGCGCGCCTCCAAAAACACAGAAAAAAGTGAAACCTGAGCATAGTTTTGCATTACATGTAAATAGACGTATATATATAATTGCAAGTAAATGTATATCGACTCATTGTTTAGCGCTTTGTGGCATGCAACGGCAGGCAGCAGCAGCAATGGCAACTGCTTCCGCGTTGCTATTGTGGGTGGCACGCCCCGTTTGCAGGTTGTTGCAAAAAATTTACATAATTATTGTGATTTAATTTTCGCATTTTCCGGGGAAGCAAAAGACACACACACACACACATGCATACACACGCAACAACAATTTGTAACTGTCGTTGTTCAACATGCAAATGCAGTTCCGATTCGTGTTGCATACAGCAACAAAAACTACAACAACTACAGTAACAGTAACTACAACAACAACCCAGTTAGCCAGTCAGACATATGTTCGCCCGTCAATTATTATTCAAAGCGCATTCGTTCATTTTCATGCCTCGCATTGCAGTTCGATTTATGAAAGGCTTTAAAAAGCGACAAGCAAATGCGATCTAGAGTCAGCTGACAGACTAGCAGATACCCTCTTAGGCAGCGATAGGACGAGAACAAAACTATGCTTGTATAAGCAATCGATATTTATCGATATCACATTTCGCAGTTCAATTTCCAATTGATATTTATTGAGAAGATCTGAAATCATTAATAGACTAGGAGATGTTCTGCTAATATTTGTCTACATTATCCTATAGATTATAGACTAGACTAGACTGTATATACATATGCCTCGAGGCTGTTGTTATGTATCAAATAAATATTTATAGGTTGCCAGCTTTCTATCTGTTATAATAAACATAGAGTTTATCATACTCTTCAATCTGTTGCTAAAGGGGTATCTCAGCGAAATAGTTTTGGCAGTTATTAATTTGCATTCGAACTTTTATTTTTGGGTCTTTTGAGTTTTTTCTTTCCGGGCATTGGCTACCATCTTTTGTGTGTTTTTGGCATAGCTCGAATTTCGGTTGATTTATGCTTCGGGGCAGTGTGATTGATGTGCCGCAGCATTTAAATATTTGACGAGCGGCAATTAAATTCATAAATCGTTAACATTATTTTGATCGACGTTAATTGGCTGTTCGATTGTTCGATTTGTTCATGATTGGAAATCCAATTAGCTTCGCTCGTAGAGTGTTGATAAACGATAAACGATAGACTAGCAATGCAAGAGAGAGAAACTGCCTCAAGGTTGACTAAATAAAGTTAGTTGTTAAAAATTGTATAGACTATTTAATAAGAGCTGTTGTTCAGGTCTACAGTTGAAGGAAGTTTTTTTCTCCCGATCAAATCACAAGCTAAGGAATTTCCCGCATACAGCCTCAGGCTCATCTTTCTCCCATCTCAGGTTTAACAAAGGCATGTTTAATTTAACAGCAAGTTTAACATGAACAACAACAAATGTGGCCAGATGGGAATCGGACGTCTTTCATCACTTTCGCTTGGTATTTGGCCTTCGTTACATCAATCATAAGGTGCATTGGCCTTCTGCTTCGCAAGATCTGTATAATAACAACATCACATATAATACCCTATATTTTCTGGCCCAGAATAAACAAGAGTTCGACACGGCGATCGCAGCAGTCAAATATAATAATCAAGTGTAATCAATGTAATTCGATTGCAAACTGCATTTGTTTATCGAATGTGCTGAAGCGCACAAAGCAATTCATGTGTACGTGGGCTGAGAGAGAGAGAGAGAAGTCGCGATCGTCTCGCTGGGCACGTCGTAAATTCGATTTGGTTTATTTTCATTTGGTTTTTCTTTCTTTTTCCACTGCTGCTGCTTCTTCTTCTTGTTTGGCATTGTCTTCCCCTCATTTACGGCCGCTTTCCACAGATGCGGCTGCTGCTGCTGCCACGGCTGGTGGCAAGTTCGAAGTCTGCCTGTGTGTTTGGCGACCTCTGGGCCAAGTTTGTTGCAATGGGTCGCATAAATTTCACTTTTACTTGCTGCGCGTTTAATTTAGCTTTTATATGTGGCATATTTCACCACTGCGTGACACTGCATGCAGCAAATGTTGCTGGCAACATGTTGCAAAGCGCTGCCACATACATATATATATATATAAATATATACAGAGGTACATATATTTATATGGAGCACATGGCCAAGCGGCTAGAAAAGTGTTGCAAATTATATGGCAGCAACGTGTTCATTGCATCGGTCATGCTAGCACTGAGGGGGCGGCACTGGCAGAAGGGGGCGTGTTTTGTAGCTCGGGGGCCACAAACGAATGCAAATTGTTGCATCAGCGAGCGCAACGAAATGTGCAGGAAAACGAAATTGTTTCTGCAGGAGAAACTTGGCCACAAATGAAGCAGTTGCCGTTGCAGGCTGCCACATGAAATGCTCCAGAGCCGCAGGCCCGACAGCCAACTGCAGCAGCTCCTTCCGCTGCTGCTGCTGCTGCTGCTGCCTCCTCAGAGGGCAGCCAGAGCGTGTGGGTCAGTGCGTGCCTTGCATGAATTACGACATCCCAGAGCACGGCACGAGTCTAGCAGCGCTCGGTAGACACACTATTAAATTATACACAATTAATATGTTGTTACCGGCCTCGCTTTGTAAAGCTTTGCAATTATATATTGCGGTAGCCGGCTGCTTGGGGTGGCTCAGAACATTAGCCAGGAAACGTTTAAACTGGCACAAATCAGAGCACGAGCTGCAGCCGGAGGAGGAGTTGCCGCAGCTCCTCCAGTGCTCTCTAAACTGGGTCAATGTGATTATAGGCAAAGACTTTCACTAGCCAGCTGTCAAGTGAGTGGGATGAATGAAGCCAAAGAGCGAGACAGAGAGAGTGGGAGAGGGAGTGGAATAGCGTGTGTGGGCCAAAGAGAATTGAGAAATTATGTTCGAAAGGCTAGAAAGGAACACGCCATGCGAAAGTCTAACACAGAAAGTGGGTGAGCTTTATTGATCTCGTCTATAAATCGATAAATCTCAAGAGGAAGAAGACTTTTCATGTTCACTATATACGTTGTATACATATAAATGTAAGTCAACTTTAATTTATCGATAGTTGTGAGCGATAGTTTTATATTTAAATTTATGGCTGCTTGATTTTAGTGCATAGCCTTTAATGTCTTTATTCCTTTACAGTATTCTATCTAGTACACTAGGAGTTTCTGTTGAGCATGTAGCTTAATGCTTATATGTTATCGATAATAGCGAATCGATAGCTTTAATCTCCATTAGCTCTACTCAATTCCTGGTACCTGCTGTTTCATTTACTGCGTCTCCATTTTATTCTATGCGCCAAATTGTTAAGCAGTTTATCGATAATGGTTAATCGATAGCTTTAATAGCTTTGCATTGCCACTGCGCACATTCCGAGACTCACAAAACATTTAATTGCCCACAATCACGAAAGTATTTGTGCCTGGAGAAATTGTACTTCTCGCAGAGATTTTAATGTTTCTGTCGATTCGAAGCGACTTCTGCCAATGCATTGGGTGCCTCGGGCAGCGCTGCTGCTGCTGTTGGCCAAGTTGATGGCGTCCGAGGCATTTGTAGAGCTCGCATTGCCGGCATTTTCACCAAATGAATTAATTAAATCAGCGAGCAGAGACACTTTTGTAATTAGAAATGCCCGCAATTGGCAACTGTCCGCAAGAGGCGGACACACAAAAGGCAGCCGCAGCCGAAGGAAAGCAGGCGCCAATGCCAACTGACAATGCCTCAAAAGAGGAGGCATCCATCCACTGATGCGGCTGCGTTTCTATTTTCCAAGAATTCAACGTATGCCTCTGCTTTTTCTGTTTTACAAATAGAAAACGGAAAGGCGAAAACTTTGCGCTAATCCAACGTGAATTTCTTTAAGGTAAAACGAAGATAAAATCATCTGATATGAGATTTATTTTTGCAACGAGTCTCGAGGTGAAGTTCAGGGCCTAGGTCCAGCCATCGGCCAGCAATGTTGCTAAACTCATATTATGAAAGTGAAGTGGATCAGTTGATCAAGTGACAACTTCTCATAGCTTTATGATGCATTTCATGTTCCATTCACGTAATTCTATTCACTGCACATGATTCTATTCACATCTCCTATCATATCTGTGCACAAACTATATTTAGGGTTAAGTTTTCTTTAAGACTTACCGCGGTCGAGCTGCGTTTGCGCAGTAAATTATCCAGGCACAGCTGTAGCTCGAAGGCCTTCAAGTAGATCAGGTGATAGCGATCGCGCAATCGTTCCAAATTGCCTTCACCCTTTCGTGGATGGGCTGTGTTGTTGTTGTTGCTGTTGCTGTTGCTGCTGTTGCTGCTGTTGCTGCTGCCGCCAGCTGCGACAAGTCCAGAGCCAGTCGCAACTCCAACGCTGGGCGTGGTCAGTGGTGCTGCATCAGAGGCGAAGCCGCTGCTGAGACTGTGCGATTTGGTGGCCGAGTCGCTGGTCGATTCGCTGGAGCAGTTGCTGGTTAAGGAAGCGGGCTGCTGCGACTGCGACTGCAACTGCAACTGTGACTGCGACTGTGACTGTGACTGGGATTGTTCCCGTTCCCTTTCGGAGGCGGCACGTATGCAGGCGCTTACAACTCGAGCGTGTGATACAATTTCATGGTACAACACCTGGAAATAGACAAACGAAACGAAGCAGAGAAATGAAAATTAAATTGAATGCGAAAGGTGTCCAATGCGAATGGCTGTCAAGCCAATTGGAAAGCGAGCACACACGACGTATGCTTAATATGGCGCGCGCTTTGGCCACGTGATTTCGAGCCAAGCCAAGCCGCCAATAATTGCCCATGCCAATTGCCAATAAAGATGTTGGCCTGCCACAGCGCGTGGGCATTTGGCTTGAGCTTTGGTTTTGGGGCGCAGCTCAGACCGAGTCTAGACAGAACTATAAATGAAGCGACTGCACCTAAATGCACTGAGCGAAAAGATAGTTGAGTGGAGAGAGTGAATTCATAGAAGAGATTTTCCACTCGAGCAAAGCAGAAGTTGCCCATGTCATGATAAGAGATTTAAGTTTTCTATAGCTAAGAATTTAAAAACTTAGTCACTTACTTCACTTCCTTTCAATCGATCCATTTTAAGAACTATTTTTACCGATAAATCATGATATATGGCCAAAATGAGGGCATCTCTAGTTCTTATAGATGATACTATATAAACAGGTCTCACTGTATAGTAGAAGAACCCCAAGAAATTCTTAATCTTAGTCTCAGTTATCCTGCCTTCCTCTAAAAACAGCTAAGTTTGCCTAGAATCTTTTTACACCTGCTCAACTTTTTCGTGCAGTGCATTTAACTTCTCTCATAATAAACTCTTCTGCCTCCGTCCCCGCCCCTATCTGAACACCAGCCTCTGCTGCATTTCCGTTCATGCGCAGCAATTGGCTGTTGTCTTAGATTTTCATCACTCATTTGTCATTTTTTTTCGGCAGACGACTTGAGCGCAAACCCAAACCCAGTCGAGACAAAGGTCAAATCCCACACATTGCATAAGCCCATGATGATGCATCCGTCCATTGTATTGTCGAAGATTAATCGATAAATGGTATTGGCTAAAAAGGCTTTCCGCATCCATAGCCGCAGCCAGAGACAAGCGTGCGATATTCAATTTATCAAAGGGGGGAACAAAATGGTAAACAGAAAAAAAATAATTACAAATGTAATTGACACGCAGCAGGTCAGAGTTGAAGCCAAGTGGGCTGTGGGCGTGGCAGCGTCAAATGCCGCACAATGACACCCACCTAGCCGCCGCACACATGAGCAGCATTCGCATTCGCAATTGCAATTGCCGCGCTGTGCGGTTATCGTACATTGATCTTCATACAACAGTTTAACCTCAACGAACTCTTGCATCATGTTGTCTGTTGGCTAAGTAAACAGCAACAACAACAGCAACAACCACAATAGCTGTCAGCTTAAGCATTAGAAATCGATAAATATGATGAAGCGACCAAAGTCGTCGCAGGTAAAGTAAAATCCACCTGGTAGACACACTTATGGCAGCAACTGTTCGCATCCTGTGCATTTCACCAGCTCAAGTCATAAATTTACCATTTTCACCTGTTGGGCTGCTCATTTGTACCTTCTTTTTTAATGGACTCGACTCCACTCTCTCTCTCTCTCTGTCTTCCCCCTCTTTGAATGCAAATTGAAATGTCATAAAAAGGCGTTCGTTTATCGATTTGCATATGCGAGCTCCACTCTATTCTCTCCTCTCTCTTCCTGTCTGCTTCTCTTTGCAGCTCGTGCAAATCTTATGCACATGATTATCATCGACATTTTGACATTTGATTAAAGAAATAAAAAAAGCTTTGCAGCAGCAGCAGCTGCTTGGACAAGCCGCGACTTGGTCAAAGTTTCAGCACTGATGAATTGCAACACTGAAGTTTTCACTTTTACTGTGCCTGCAATTATAGAGAGTTCTCGAATATCGAAATCTACTTCACAGAACTGTAATAGGTAGCAAACATGCTATACTCACTCAACATTAATTTCTGTAATATCATAAAATTGGATATCCACTATAAAAGTCTGAATATATCAAAGTTTTTCTAATTATATCAACCACATGTTTTATCTATTCTAATCACAATCAAACATTTCTTATCTTAGACTTCCTTCCACATTATAGACTCATATTAAACTCCACCCACGCTTAGTCAACTTCTTCCACTCCAATGGCTTTTCCTTCGGCTTCACAAATATCTAAACGAGCGCAAATCGAATTCTATTTTATAGGAATTTTCCGCTAGATAATTTTCTGCATCATTACAGCGACTTGAGTTAGAAGTTGTGTGCATTATAATATTATGATATTTTCGCTGTTTTGCTTTTATCATTGTATCTAATTATGTGGCTCGACAAAGAATTTGTTCGCTACGTCGAGGGGTGCCCGAGGGGGAGTGCTTGGGTCTTTCTGTTTTCAGAGGCTTGGCTGTTTGCACAAACTCAAAACTCAAGCCGAGTGCAGAGCCCAATTCATAGCCATTAGCTGAGAGGCGAGTCGCGCGAGTCATGAAGTTGTTTCAAGTTCTTGGCAGAGGAGCCACAACCGTAAGAAGCGTCTGTGACCTGGGCAGGTGTGTGGAGGCGGTGTGGGTGTGGCAGTCAAGCGGCTGCCTATTTGCGATAGTTGCGGCTCATTACGAGCCGAAGAGCGAGAGCTACAAAGAAAACAATAACAACAACAACAGCAACAACAGCAACCACAAGACACAAGCTAAGCCAAACAATTGCTTGGCCATAGAGCAACGCCTTTCTCTTTGTTTAAACTCAGCCAAGAGTCAGAGTCAGAGTCGGAGTCGAAGTCGAGTCACAGTCGAGTTGGAGGCTGTAGGTTTATGGCTCCACTCCCCAATCTTTGCACGACTCTGGGTCTTGGCAATTTGGCGAGCCTCTTAATGTATTTTGCACACGCCACCCACCCACCTGAGAACGTCGAACTCCAACTCCGACTCCAGCCCGAACTCGACTCCAGTTTCAGAACTGAATTATAATAAAATATGAGCCAGAACTTTATGCAAAAAGTTCGTGACTAATCGGCGACTGAACTTGAGATGTTACCTTCTCCCCAGTGTTGTGATTGCAATTGAGACTTTGATGCACTCAGCCAGCAGGCAGCAGGCAGCAGTGGGCAGCTGCAGCAGCCATGCAGCAGGCGCCCAGTTGGCAACATGTTGCAAGACGAAGGCAGAGTGAGAGAGAATTTATTGGCTAAAGAAAAGTGAATGCACAGTAGGTGGGATACTGAATTGAGCACACAGAATGGCCAATGCAATATAAGTTAAGGTGTTGCTAGCTATATTTGTTAGAAGTAAGAATATTACAGTCGAGCGTACCCGACTGCAGAATTATCCAATCCATAGGGAAATTCAAGTATCGCTAGACACATAGACTAGGGAGTACGAGTAAATCTTCCTCATTTCAAGTCTATAGCTACAATAGCGACGAAATGGTTTCCGTGTGTACGGACAGATAAACGGAAGGATAGAAGGTCGAATAGACGGATGTACAGAAATATACAGCATAACGGATATTGCACAAAACCAATATGCTCATCTCACTGCGTGAACAAGTATACAAGTAATGTGTCTATTGTTCTATTGTTCCGCAGCAAATTCAAGGTCTGTGTAGAGGCTGCTGCTCACTGGGCAAATGCTTTCGGGACGTATAAACAATTTAGAGCTGATATTTACAAATCGCTTCAAAGTGTTTATTTATCAATTGTTATAGGTAATTGTAGTATGCTTAGCGGAAAACTGACAAAGAATTGTCTATAGATAATCGATTTAAAGGCGTATGTAGTAAGAAATAAAATATGTTTTTATATTTTCATAGCACATATCCCTCATTAGAAGACTCTTCTCTATATATTTGCTCATATTTAATCATGCATTTCATAATATTTTCATCATAAGCCCTTCTACTCAACTCTCCATTCGAGCTGTCAACGGCTCATTTCATGCCCATTCCCTGCTCGATTTCCCACTGCAATCACGTTTTCAGCCTTTAGTTTTTATATTTTCCAATAATTTTTACATAATTTACATAATTCTTTATGATTCCCTCTCAGCTCGCTTATGATTTGTGTGCATGCATTAAGCATAAACTCGAGCAATTTTTCCCAGCTGGCGCCAGTTGAAATATGACTTTCGACTACATTTTGCCCAGCTAAATGCTAATTGGACTCTTGTTGGCCACATAAATTCCATGCACAGTGGGCACACTTCTCCTTCTGCTTCTTCTCCTTCTTCCACTAGTTGTGCTTCCTCTTCTTTAGGCTAGTTGCAACACAGACAGAGGCTGTGGCTGTCCTCCAATTGTTGTCGGGCCGCATGACGCACATTCGCGCAAAGATCTTCTAATGCGTTCTGCTATTTATAAAGCTGAAGACTGGGCACTCTGCTCTGGCTGTGTGCCTGTGTGGCTGTGTCTCTCGATCGAGGTTCGTTGACTCACGAAATTCTTTCGTACAGTGTTGAGCAATAGCCAAGAATACCAACAACAACAATTAACTAGCTACAACAACATTGGATTCATGATCGAAAATGTCAGTACGTGACCTCGACCGCGTTTTCTAAATATTTATCGCCCCCCTTAGACACTGGGCACAGCCTACGCCCCTCGTCAGTTGAGATGCTGATATGTGTTCATATGTATAAATATACAGATATATATATCTGATTCACGCCGAGTTCTCACAAATTACAGCTCTAGAAAGCTTCACATTTAGCTCATATAAGTTCAATTCTCACCTGCCAAATATTTTAGCCAAAATTGAGAATTTCTTTAGCAAAAGTCAATGAACGTTGCCTCAACAACAACGGCAACAGCAACAACAACTATGCAACACTTCCAACATGTCACACATACTATAAATTGGAACGCGCACATTTCCTACTTTTTCAGCTTTTTTTGCTAGCACATTTCTGAGTGAAATAGTCACGACATTTGGAACACTTCCAAATGGCCAAATCGAAAGCGACTTTAAATAGCCTCAAAAAAAAAAAGAGAGAGAGAGAGAGAGGGAGAGCGAGGGGGAGGGAGAGAGAAGAAAAAAATTAGATACAAAGTCTGCCCGGTTTGGGACACAAACTAATTTCGGCGTGCGCG